TATTTGGAAAAATAAGCTGCTCGACTGCTAAATTTGCAAAGACTGAGTCATCAAGCTGGATAAAAATAGAAGGAGGAGGATGATTCACAGAGTCATTATAGAGAAAAATGTCTTCTTTCTACCTCCATCCTCTCCTTCAGAATAAAGAGAATGCAGCTTATGGACGAAAGCTTTGTACTAAACACACACCTCAACATGTGCATGGCTCTCAAAGGAGTCACAAACTTACCCAGAAAACCTTCTGTTGTGCTTGAAGAGTGAATTCCATTTGTTTGATATTCAGCCACAGGAGATCTTGTGTGCTTTATTCCAGACGCTCTGAGTATAGAGAGAGGAAAAAAGTCTACATCCTTACGACTGTCCTTTTTACATTATTCATCAAACGCAGCTCTCTGCGGCTTCTTTAAACGCTTCCTCAGTGGATGAAAATCTGAAGGTAAAATGTTGAATTGTTCTGATAAATGTTTTATAGCCTCATGAGGACGATTTACTATAAAGGACTCTGAATGACCTGAAAATCCAACAAAGGTCACATCTCCTGCCTCGACCTGTCATGTCAGTTTCACACAGTGTTGACTGGCCTATACTCAGTTTCAGAACAAAAGAAAACCACATATGCATTCAATTCAATTCCAAACAAACTTTTCCCGTTTAAAATGAGGCAGAAAACGGTTGTAGCAGAATCTCCAAGGTCTTAAAAACCTGCCCAAAACAAAAATGTTAAAACAGACCTGTTTCACTGAATGCTAAGGTTGATGACCAACCTTTCTCAGAGCATCTTCTTAGTGTGTCAAGTAACGTGTATTTAATAAATTAACACAAGACATCCGAAAGCAGCACACTCATTTTAGCTTCACCCTTATTGTTTCATCGCCTTACCTGGACACAATGTTCCTCTGACAGCACAGCGTCTGCAGCTTCCAGCAGCAGATATCTGACAGTCTTCCTAGGTGGGGATACAATCAGAGGATTGAAGGCCTGCTTAGCTGTATAGTCATGGAGTGGATCTCCTTGTTCTGCAGCATGGACTTAGTTCTAATACTTTACTTATGATAATAATATCTGAGAGCCCGGTGTTACAAGTCTGAGTGTAATCTACTGAAAGCATTTGTCCACTCATTTAGAGTCTGTGAGCAAAAGCTCTGTCTAGCTCAGGCACCCTCTTTCTATTTGGAGAGTTCACTCATCAAGATTTTACAGATTCATTCATCCCCTGCTTGTAGCTTTATTACACCCTCATCTCCAATTGGAGGGAGTAACTTGCAGACTGCTTCATCTATTTCAGGCTGCCAAGTGAAGAACATTGATTTTAAAGGCAAAATGGTTTCAGCCAACTGCCTGGGATGAAAGTTTGCAAAGATCAGATGAATTGCTATGAAATTTGTTCAACCACACTGGTAAGTTTATTTGCCTTTGTCACTCAAGCACAAGCAGGGGTTTGTGTCAGGCATTTTGATAGTTTGATCGATTGCCATGGACTTTCATTCACATGCTCATGTCGGAAATCCTTTTTCTGTTAGTGATACTCTTGACTTTCCTGACACATCCAGTGTCATCATCAGATCAAGATTTTGCTTATTATGTAAATATCTTAACATCTACTTAATGAGTTGGCACAGAGTTTTGAAGACGTCCATGGCTGCCAAACAATACAGCCGTATTATGTTGGTAATCATCCCACTTTTGCACCACATTGAAGTTGAAGTTTGTAATATTGGAGAGATTTCACACCAAGGCTAACTAATGGATTTATATGACATTAGGTGGGGACATTAATGATCCTTAAATAATAAAACTGGAATACTTTAATGCTAAATATTATACCCAAATTTATGATTACCACTGTTAGCAGTTAGCTCATAGCACCAGTATTTTGGGTACAGCCTCACAGCTCTCAGCACTGCTTTGTGTTTTGCTGTGCATTTTACAGGTCCATGTGAAGCTTAAATCTGTGCGTCACTGGATGCTTGAATGACATACGGGCAAAGCAGGTAGGTGGAAGAACGAGACAGGGTTATATAATCAGCACAATTTTATTTTAGATTGAAAAATACTGAGGAGTATGACCTGTCCTCATGAATACTGATGTTCCTTGGCTACAAGCTAGAATTAAAGTGACTCACATTGCTCTAATAATCACAGCTATCGATTGGTCTGTGCCGCAAAGGCAAGGTCAAACAGGAACTCTCTGACTCAGAACAACGGAAACAAAAACTGAGGAGGGGCCATACAGGAAGCAGGTTTAATCACATTTGGATTTACAGGACAATACCCATCTATTTTACATTTAGCTTAGTGTTATCCTTGTTTGATCTGGAATAAGTCATATAAAGACACATATATCCCCGAGTACTGCAGCTTCTGCCCGGTTCACATCTTTAAACTCAGAAAACTCGAATTTCACCCCGTTGTAAGGAAAATCTGTCTAATTATTGAAGCCGCTACATTCTGACATGAGTGTTGGAGCCACACTGTGCACACAACAGACTTTCAGCTTCATTCAGGCAATGCAGAATGCAACACTGTCCAACATCAGTGGCAAGCCAATTCCTGTTCAGCAATCCTGTTCCTAATTTATTCAACTCTGTACTTTTGCATTTATTTATAGGAACACAGGCATTAGAGATTCCTAAAATCTGGTAATTCCCTCATCTTTGCCATCACCCTGGGTCAAATAAACCTTCAGCTGCGAAGCCAAAAGGACAAATTTGTTGATCTTCATGATTTTTTTTTCAAAAGTTGCTTCCCTTTCTAGCTGCAGACCTACTGAACTCAATGCAAAATAATAGTGCAAAGTCAATCATCAGATGGATCCCCAAGGCTTTGGTTTTATAACATCAAATTATGTTTTAAATAGTCAGTTCATCATTTTGATCAGGATTTACTGCAAAGTAAAAAGAGCAGTCCTATCCCAGTACATTTCTATCTGTGTGTGTGTAAGAGGATGGGGTGAGACAGAGAAAAGCAGAGGTTAGAGGGAGAGGACGTAGAGCACATCCATCCCCAGAGGTGCCTTTATTGGCTCATCCTTTCACAAAACTACATTTTCCCTGTTAAATAAAGCCTCAGAAACACAGGGCAGGGCGTTCTCTTTTATCCACTTTTCACTCTTTCTGCTGCCTGTAGCCACTCCAGACATGAGAGAATATCAGCTATTAGAAATGAATTTTAAAAGGCATACAGAAAAAAAAAAATAGTGCAGATTCTGTGGATGCAGAGAGAGCTGGTTTCTAGATTACAGTGGGAGTCTCAGCAGGCAGGACTGAATGTACTATTAATGAGAGATTTAATGACCTCTGATTACATGCTGTGTCCATTCACTGTGATGTGCTTCATTTAGAGGGTAATACTCAGAGGCAGCATTAACAGCTGGAAATGCCTGCAGGACTATTTTTCATGCTTTTATTTATTTTGGCTTATTGTCCAACCACAATTTTTCTATCAGTATGAGTGAATATGATGCTATGGTAGGACAAAAAATAGACCTTTGTCTCTGCTATAATGTGATATCAGATGGGTTTACTCATACTCACCGCATAGATCAGTGCCCAGTACTTGGTGTGTAGTATTTTTCTCTTTATAATTTTTGCAAGAGAACGAGTAATTCTTTCTTTGGTCGTCTTAATTGACAGAATCTTAAAATAAAACACACAACTGTTGATGGATGATTTAGTCTAAAACGGAAAAGTTACTCTCTTTTAGTTGAGAAGTCGCCACATGTTGTTTTCAGCAAAGTAGCTGAAGTAGACGTGTTTACAATTAATGGACAAGGCATCAAAAATGAACTACTTCCTTTATTGTTCATGTAAACTCCTCAAAACTTTATAATAGGTGAGTTGGTAGATGTATTGTTAGGTAAAATGGTTGTTGGTTGATTAATTGGGTTGACTGAGTTGGTTGATTTAGTCAGACAATAGGTTGGTTGATTGATTGGTTGATTTGTTGGTTGTTCGAATGGTTGAATAGTTGGTTGGTCAGTGGGTGGATGGCTAACTGGTTTGGTTCATTGTTTTGGTGGGTTGCTTGGTTGGTTGGTTTGTTTTGCTTGTCTGAGTGGTCGGTTGGTCTTAGGTATGAGGTACGTTGGTTAACTGGTAAGGCGACTAGTTTAATGGATGGGCGTTAGGTTAGCTGGCTCATGGGAATGGTTGGTTAGTGGGTATGAAGATAGGAGGGCAGATAGGTCTGTGAAATAAATAGATAGATAGATAGATAGATAGATAGATAGATAGATAGATAGATAGATAGATAGATGGATAGATGGATAGATAGATAGATAGATAGATAGATAGATAGATAGATAGATAGATAGATAGATCCTCACATATACAATAAAGTATTAAAGTCACGCTGCAGAGTTGCTGCAGTTTTCGTGGCTGACCTTGTGCAGGTTTTTCTGACGCTCTGATTTCTGCTCTAGACAAGCAAAATATCTGTGTGAGTAATTAAGCCAGTGGTTTTATTACTGTTCAATTAGTCTCATATCCTCTCCCTCTGAATCGCCTGCTTATCTGTTCATGTGTTTGCACACACTATGCATAAATGTACTCACACACACCCATACACAGGCACAATTGCTATGAACTGTTTCGTCCGCATCAGCGTGGACCAGATAGAGAAGCTTGCACTAAGTCTGTTTGCTCTTCTTTGGTGCTAACAGCTAGATAACAGTTAATGCAATCACCAATGTGACTGGCTTATCTCTTCAGCTCTGTTATTGAAAAGTTGATGAAAGTTTGGCGGCTAAACTACAGAATTTGAGATCTCCAGAAAGTCACCCACAGGGAAGGCAAAAACTAGATCCAGTAAAAACTGTTAGGAAACTAAATTATGAACAAAATACCGAATTCCATAAAACCAGCATGACACAAAACAGAGAAAGCCTTGATGGATCAAACCCACACTCTTTATTTTCTGAGTCTGTTTCCTCTCTGTGGGATCTTTTTCTCTTTGTTTCAGCTCTGCCGTCTTACGTGTTTTGCTCTGTAAGTCTCTCTGTCTCATGCTCTCTCCCTGGTCCGGTTCACCTCCTCTCCCAGAACTTTAATAGGTGAGATGTCCGCTGTCAGAGTATGGTGCTTGCTGGACCTGACTTTCATTTCATCAAGAGGCACGGTGGTACCACCAACACCCTTCTCCTTCTCTCTGTTCCCTCGACTGTCTGTTCCTGCCTCAGCTTCTGATCTCAAACAACAGCAGTCCATCACTGCCAGCGGCGCAGGGAGACTCCTGTGGTGAGTATGCAGAGGGCCTTACTCTGAAGGGGAAGTGGGTGTCTAACAAGACACCAGAGTTTGTGTTTGTGAATGAAAAGTCAAAGACTGAAACGTTCAGTGTGCAACATTCTTTGTGATTCACAAGGCTTTGTCTGGTAAAAAAAAGAAAAACAAAAACAAATAGGGAAAGAAATAGTGGAGTTTATGATCCACTGCTTAACCTCTCTGTGATACTTTCATCCTGATTGTTTGGGTTTCTGAATTGGGAAGTTTGTACAAATTTATTGGGAGAAATGGTTGAGAGGAGAAGAGAGAGCTGGAGGTGATATTAAAAAGATTAGTCTTACCTGAAGCATACAGGCGTGCTGTGCAAAATGCGGAAGAAAGCAAAAAGTCTTTCAGTATGCAATGGCTCTGTTTCTGATGAAAGATTATTTAATTTGCCTTTTATTTTCTCTGCTACATTTTTCAAAAGACATTTGTGGCAAGCATTTGTTGAGTTACATAGCATATCTGTTGTTAAAGCAACAAATCTTCAGACAGTATAATTTTAAGAACAAATATTAGATGAAAATGCTGGATGTCAAAAGCTGAATATGGGCAAAGCTTCAGTGAGGAGTAAGCTCAGGGTCAGACCACAGGCTGCTCTAGACTGCTTGTTCATATGAGAATTATGCAAGAGGGACACACAACTTACTCAATGTCTGATATTACCAATTGATAAATCTTGTCAAAGGAACAGGAAGTAATTGGTGACAAACAGAAAACATTCTGCTATTTTTTTCCTAAAGTCTCTCTAAAGGGAAGAGTCTCTCTCTTCCCTTTAGAGAGACTTAAAGTGATAGCACCTGAAATTAAGCGATTCAGACAGAAGCTGAAAAAAAGGTTATTAGGAATAATTTGAGCTGTAAATTATGTTTAATTATTACAGAAGTATTGGGGCAAATATTAAGCCTAAAAACAAGGTAACACCACCTGTTTATAAAATTTTTGCGAGCATTTTGTCATCTTATAAGAAGAAAGGCTTTTAGGGTGGCATATACATATGTTACTATTTGTCTTACAGTTTTTTGTTATTGCCCATTTTGGTCCAAATTGAATTTACAGGAGGAATTTGCTGGATGAATGTTTTTTGTCCGTCGACTTACATACAGCACTACCTTTAGGATCGGACCTTCAGAGGCACTTAATCTCTAAACGAAAATGTTACTATGAAGAGTTACTTGGAAGCGTTCAATCCTACACTTGAACCACTAATTTAGCTGAACAAACAATAAACATTTACTTTGAAATGTACATTCACAGCAGTGATACTGAATAGTTTTTCCTAGTTTTGCACAGAAAAATAATTTTTGAGAAAGTAACAGTGAAATGTTATTTTAATATGACTATTAATATCATTAACTAAATAACTACTTAAAACTATTATTTTTATTCCTCTAATAAATTGCTCTCTGCATAGCCTTATGCAGATGCCTTCATCCATAGCTGATGTACACCTACTTGAAAATGTAACCCAAGATCGAAATGGCACAGACTGCTAGCCGTGTGAGTGCAGACATTTCTGATACAGCTGCTGTCCACTTCACCACAGGTCTACCCTGCTTCACACTTCACTGTCTGCATCACAATTTCGAGGTGTGGAGGCACTGTTGGACCAAGCTGGTTAATTCTGATCTATCATTTTTTGGGTTGTACCATGAAGACTTTATCTTCAATGGTACTAAGACTATATATTACTCCACTTAGCATGGGGAATCTGAAAACTAGAAGCCATTCTTAAACAGTTATATTGAGTAATACCAACCATTCAGAAGATGAACTAAATGCAGATGCAGAAGCCAAGATAACATATTTACTTGCTGAATCGGATTGTTTATTAAGTCTGCTGTGTATTATCACACAGTAAACAGGCACTGCTTGTGCATGTTTTCGCAGGGCACGTTGGAGGGGAGTAATGAATTGAAAGAACTCAGTTGGGCTGAGTTTCTTTGGCAGGGTAGAGAGGGCTCCAATAGAACAGAGACACACACAGACACTCAAACACACACAGAGGATAGCACAGAGGACCCAGGCTGTATATTAGAGGTTCAGAGACAAAGTCATGCTCACTGCAACACTCTGCTGTGTGAGAGTAGAGGAAGCAACACTGGGATGGAGAAAGGGGAAAAAAAAAAAAAAACATCCGACACTTAATTTGCAGGCCCTCTCAAACAAAGCATAGCTTAATAAATTGGAAATGGTATCATCCACAGAGGAACATGGCTGCAAATAAAAGCAGAGGCTTGAGGCGAGCACTGCATGGAGCAAAGCCACAGCAAAGGCTGGACCAGCATGCCAGAGCTGGACTCTATCTGGAATCTGAGTTATAAAAGCGTTTGAAGACAGAAACAAACAAGCAATACATAAAACAACATTACACTCTTTTGATAAGTGTTATCAATGTGTTCCTCCACATCAGTACTCTGCACATTTTGATAAAAGAAGAATTTACGCCATACTTTGGACTCGTTTTCCTGCAGCAAAGACACCCAGAGGCTGTGTAATAGCTCTAAACGTATTGCCTCATCCACCCTCTGACAGCAAAGAGTCAAGGTAAAAGTAATCAATTAGTCAATCAATCTATTTGTTTGGTCTAGTTTCCAAGGCTTCCCTGGCAGTTTAAAGATTCAGAGAAGACTACAGGTCACGTCTGCAGAATCAGCCCGTCTGTTTGAAGTTGAAAGACTCTCAGAGATGTTTTGGTGGAGCAGCAGCATGCTCAAATCTGGGTTGAGACATGTCAAGTATTTTTACAGCGTGACACAAGGCTTGGATGAATATTTGGAATAATATTGTCCCGGTATTCGGCAAGTCAGTACAGTTCTGCCATCATATTACAGTACACCATGTTTTGCTTTTGACTTTCATCATGATTTATGCTACAGATGATGCGAAATGAGTATTGGTTTGGATTAAAACCAACTTTTGATTATGCAGAACATTTGACTTTGGCATTGTACTGTAAAATACAATGATGTTATTGCCTGACCTTTAGTTTGGAAAATTATGGTGAATTAGATTTGCATTAGAAATAATGTAAGAAAGACTCTGAGTCTTTTTAAAGGGAAACTTGAGTACATTTTAACCTGGGCCCATGTGTTTGTGTGTGCTTGAATGATGGGAAGAACAATTTCTGAAACTGGTTTGACGGGCAATTGAGCATCGACAAACTATGTCAGTACAAGTGATTTATTTTACCCCTGAAAGGCCCAGATTGTTTGTACAAGAATGGATTGGCAAAGCTTTCCCTTACTGGTTTGTCGCTCACTTACCTGTTCCCTTTTTTGGTTGTAATGGACCTGAAGAAAACTTCAAAATTCTAAGATAAAAAAACTAAAACCTCAAGTTCATAGTTACATTTCAGTGCTACATGATGTCCACTCTAGTGTGTACATCTATAACATGCTCAAAATTGTAGATTTGGATGAAAATTTGCTTCACTGTGCATGTCCTCAAAAGTAAAACAACAACATTTAAATGAAAAAACTTTGCTTTGTAATTTGTAGTTCATGCATCCTACTGAGCATTTTATGGTCTAAAAGAGGTCTAATAGACATCTATACATAGCCTAGACAGCCAGTCTAAAATCAGGCTACTACAGGTCTAAAAATGAAAGATTTTTACACATCTAAATTTAGACCAAGTTTAGACTTAATCTAAATCTGGGCTATATCTATACTACACTGTAAATTGCTCAACGGCTATCATAATTATTTGATTAAGTACTTGGAGATCAGTTATGCAACTCACAGTTGCTTTTTGAAATAAATAGTTCTCGAATAATGGGTTAAAGTACAACATCTAAATTATGTCTAAAAATATACAGAATCTAGACAGCTGAAATTAGGTCTAAAAAAAACTAGACGCCTAATAGCTGTCTATTGCTCAGTGGGATAAAAGAGTTAAGAACTGTTATTTCTGTCATGGTACTAGATTTTCACCCCATTATTATCATAGCTAGAGAATATCTCAGTAACAGTAACATCATGATATGATAACGATTCTTAAAGACTATTGCAACAAACTCATGATATCATTGTACGCTTATTTATTCTAAAAAGCCTTCTATTGTCATTACAGGAACAATATGACTCCCCCACTTGAAACATACAAAATTGAGCGAATGGTAGCTTTGTGTAACTCTGGCTTTCTTTTCCTCAGAAATCTAAGATTAACACAGTGAAGGCAGAAATGATGTCTTGGGACAGCAACTGAAATAAGGTAAATAAAACTCCAAGAGGCCTCTGGCTGACTATAATACAATCATTAGTATATCAGGGCTGTATATCTGTCGGTGTATGTTTGACACCAGGAGTTTTTATTCACTGATAAATCCAGCTCCAAACAAACAGTGCTGCAGGAACAGCTTTGTATTGACAGACAGGAGAAGAAGACTGTGAATATATTAAATTTAAGGTTAAAATCAAGACTGTTTTTTAGGAATATGGTCAGGTTTTTGTATATGTACTCAGTAGAGTCAGCTCTAACATTGTGCACACTTTAATGTTCTGCAGTTCTTCTTGCTGGCCAAGGCCTGAAGCTCCTCCAACCTCACAGACATGAAATAATTTATTAATGGAGCCATGAAACAGAAGGAAGACTGCACCAATTAATACTGAGAAACAAAACAGGCCTGTGGGAGAATCAGGAAGGGAGCTGAGGTCAAGGTGTGTGTTTGTGTGTGTGTGGAAGAAAAGTGCAGCACAGTGAAGACAGGGAGTGAGGGAGAGGGAGGAAGGGGGGAGGAAGGGGAGACGCAGGGGGTAAGAGAGAAGTAACACAAGGAAGACCTGAAGAAGAGAGAGCTGGATAAGGAACAAAATAAGGTGAGTGTGGAGGGAAACAATAAAAATAGGTGTGAGAGGTAAAGTAAGGAAGCTGAGGGAACACCAGGGGAGACAGAGGGAAAAACAAACTGAAACAGGTCAGGAGATGTACAAGATGTAAGAAAAATAGGGGAAATGAAGAGGA